AGAGTTGAGGAAGCGAGACATCATATACAGTCCTTCCTGGAAGAACAGACTGAAAAAGGAGACAGGCTGAGTGGTAATCAGCCAGGGACACTGGGTAGAGGAAGGGTGGTTTTTTTGCTTATTTAAGATGAGAGAGCAGAATCTGCTTACATGCTGAGGAAAACAATCAACAGAGAGGGAAAGCCTGAAGCCTCAGGAAAAATGGGTTATAACTGACGGTGCAACCCTGGGGGGACATGAGAGGCAACTAGAATAACTGTAGCCTACTTTTGGTAGACACAGTGTTAAGTGTTCCATACACACAGTCTCATTTACCCTTACAACCACCTTCTGAGGCAGCAGCTACTATTATCCCCACTTTACAGATGAGGAGACCAAGACAGAGAGAGGTTACATAATTTGCCTCAGGGTTAACGAGCAGGCAGTGGTAGGGTCAGGATGGGGCACAGACTTGAAAAGCGGAGGGTTTACTTGGGGGAGGGAGGACATCTCATCTTCATGGGGGTGGTGGGAGCAGGGGTAGATGACTATGTCTGCGGGCTAGGACTGGGAACATGAGCTTGAGAAGATTCCTAGACAATGAAAGATGCCTTCATTTTCTCGGCAAAAGGAGAAAGCAGAGAATAAGAAGGAACTAAGGGCATATATTCAGCAACAACTGTGTGGCAGGGTCTGAGATAAGCACTCAGTATCTCATTTAACACAAGCCATCCACCAGGTAGGTGTTATTAGACAAGGAAGCTGAGGCCAGAGAGCTTAACTTGTTCTAGTTTGCTGGGGCCTTCAACAACCCCTCTGAGGTGGTCTGTCAAGAAAGTTGGAGGCAGTGATGGTGGTAGGGAGTGGGGTCTTGACTGAGTTCAAGTTTGAAATTGCTAATGAGAAATGAGGCATCTTTCTGGCTTCAGTGAGATACAGACTCCTTTGCATTGTGTGTAATATTGCCTGTTTCCAGGGCACACACCTTCATGATTTGCACTGACTCTGCTTGTCCTGTTTCAGTTAACAAAACCATCAAAAACCTGGCCTTCTTCCATTTTGAGCAAAGCCCACCAGAGAACAGCTTCCTGAGACTCACTGTCATGGCCACGGCAACACAGTCTGAGCGTAGCCTTAGCTGCTTTGCTCAGGAAGACATCGCCATTTGTAGACCACACCTTACCATTGAGGTAGGCACTAGTCTTTCCCCAAATCACTCTCATTTGCTCCCATCTCAGAAGGAATCAGAGCCCCTCAAGCTTCAGGGAAACAACTATGCTGTAGGATTACCAGAAAACGCTAGGTTGAGAGCTCCTTCTCTTGAAAGAGATGGTTTCTTACATATGCTATTAAGGTTTACATCTTCCAACTTTTTTGGTTACATAAAGATTTTAAAAATCAGGGCCTCCCCAGTTGCTTCCTCCATACTTGGATAATACTAGCCTACATTTATTTAGCAATTTATACATATGCCAACGTATTTTCACCTTCTTTCTTTAATACAAAATCCTTGTGAGGTAGAATTATTCATATTATTCAGATGAGGAAACAGTCCTAGAGATTATCATACCCATGATCATGAAAACAGGATGTTTTAGAGGCTTATGGCTCTTGATCTAGTCCTCTATCCACATGTCTACCCTGACCAGAATGAATGCGATCTGGTCCCAGCCCTCAACGAGGTTATGTTATAGTTAAGTAAATGAGACACAATGTTAGGTCTTTTATGTAAGTGCTTCAATAGAGTACAAAGTCACTATGGCATAAGTGAAGTAAGGGGATTAATTTCAGCTGGTGGTTTTGAGAAAGGCTTAATAGGAGGAGGCACTTATGCTGAGCCTTGAAAAATAGGTAAGCTATAGTGCAGAGGTTGGGGAAGGCCATTGCAGGCAGAAGACTGAACAGAGAGGCCCCAAAGGGAGTCTGAGAGGGGTGCTGGGATGTCATTTAGTCAAGGGAAGTACAGGTGAGGCTGGAAAAGGGGATTGGGGTCAGACCATGAAGGGCTCTGAATGCCAACCAAAGCTGAATTCTGAAGACAATGCGAACCCCTCCAAGGTTTCTAAAAGGAGAGGCACCATCAGAAATGGCCATGGATGAATCAAGGCAAGGGTAAGTATAAACGCAGGAAGACCTGTAGAGGGCTAAAGAAGTCAGGTGTGGAGTCTGGGTCCGGATGGCAGACAGGAGAGTAACTGAGGAGAGTACAGGGAGGGTGCCTAGGAGGGGAAGCAGTAACTGTAGCCCTGTGCTCTTTGCATCTGCTCCAGATTTTGCCTCTTCCCACAGATGCCAGAGACAGCAGAGCAGTATCAACTTCTTAAGGCTTCAGTCCGCCTCCATAACTTCCTAGATGCTCCCATGAAAGACTGTGTGATCTCCCTCTTTGGAAGGGGGCTCATTTACAGAGAGAGGAGGTACAGGTAAGAGACCACAAGCTTCTTGGGGCGCCTGGGTGGCTCAGTTAAGCATCCGCCTCCAGCTCAGGTCATGATCTCGGGGTTTGAGCCCCACATCTGGGCTCCCTGCTCAATGGGGAGCCTGCTTCTTCCTTTACTTCTGTCCCCCCTCCCCCACCCACTTGTGCTCTCTCTCAAATAAAATCTTTAAAAGAGAGAGAGAGACTACAAGCTTCTCATCTCACTGAAACATCTCAACTTGTCAGAAAGGCAGGGACCCAAGATTAATGAGATTTGTCTGCAGAATGATGGCAGAAGTCCACACTCCCTCCAGCAGTACAGGAGTTTCTACCATTTCTCCACTTTTCTCCATTCTTGGCAATACTCAGCTTTTTTTCCAGTCTAAGAGAAATAAGGTAATATCTCATTATTGTTTTAATTTGCAACTCTTCATATGTTTATTACCCTTTTCTGTTTCCTCCTCTGTAAAAGATTTCTTTTTATCTTTGCCCACTTTTCTTTCGGTGTTTCTGCTTTTCCACCTTGTTGATTTATAGGAGTTCCCCATATGAGTCCTTTGTTGGTTTCAGATGTTGCAAGTATCTTCTTTCATTATCTCTTCTTCTCTCACTGTGTCCACCACATTCTTTGTTGAAAACACAGTATACAGTTTAGAGTTCATGCTGCCTACTCCTGAAATACCTGGTAGTTGTCTTGTTATTGAGCCAATGCCTCAGCCTTATGAAACTAAATGAATCACTCTTGCCAGTAAGTTGAGAGGATGGACTGCCAGCATTTAACTACATTTTTGTGGTATCTGAGATCAACTGTGGGGGAAAGCTCAAAGGAAATCTGTGCTACTCCTGTTGTTGGTCCACAGGTAGGCTGAAAGGTTGCTGATAGGATGCCAAACACCACCTGTTAACATACTGACATCTTCTGTGTATGTCTACTGTACCCTTACAGCACTTAGCAATGTGAGGGGTCCAAAACCATAGCCCTCCCAAACACACCCCGGTACTACTACCAAGAGTGGGACCAGACTGAAGTCACAGATGATAAATTACAGAGGTAGCTTGGAAACCCTTAGAATAGGATGTTTTTCTTCCTAACCATGTAATCATTTGCCACAGGGAGGCTCCTTAAAACCTCCTGTTTCAACAGCAAGGTACTTAAATGTTTATTTCTTCACAGTTCACCTCTTCAAGCAGGGAAGAATCAGTCACTGGGACTAGCAAAGCAATGGGACAGAACTACCACCTGCCTTTTCCTTTATTTCAGAATAGCTTCCGTGTGGCCTGGAAACACCTTGTACACCGAATTCCAGTTCGCACCGACACAGGTGGGGCTCCAGAGGCTCACTGTGGAAATGGACTGCGATATGTTCCAGAATGTAACCAACTACAGAAACGTCACTGTGAAGGCCCCTGAACTTCCCGCTTCAACTTCCAATAATCAGCACATAATTAAAGTCTGATGTTGATAACATGAACTTGGTCCACTAGAGAAATATGAAAATTATTAGGTATATAGAAAACAGGCCCTAGGAGAAAAAAAAAATAAAAGAACTGGACGCCTTTTATACAAAGTTATCATTTTGGGGGGTTTACGTTATTTTGTTGCTTTGGCACTCTCTCAGTTTGAATTTAGTTCCTTCTCTTTATGACTTTTATTACAAGTATAAAATGGCACTTGATAAAAGCAAATTAAAACTCATTTGACATAAGGAATTTCAACCCAAGTACACACTAATTGCTCAGAGAATGACTGCTGTGGTTATACCTAAAAAGACCCTGGGGACATCAGAAAGGCAGATGGGATAAGTTACACCCATGCAAGGAAAAGGACTGGCCTTAGCTGTTGTGGAGATCTGCAGTACGGGCATAAGGGCTAAGTCAGGTCACTGGAATACACACCATACAGGTTTACCTTGCTTTCCAATATGTGATCTTCCAGACCAATGCAAAAATATAATTAATCCATGATTGTGCAGAAGGATTAACTGAAAAGGCCCTTAAAACTATATAAACTCTTATACATTTACAAATTTTTGATGTATAAAAATTTTGTATTTACGTTTCAAAATAGATGTAATGTATAACAGAACAATAATACAGGTATGCATAAGAAAAACAAATCTGTTCTATAAAGTGGACAAACCTAACAAATGAACTCAATACTAAAAAATAATTTTGGAGGCATGGATGGAATAATATTCAGAAGGACTTAATGATAAGAACAATGATATGTAACTGCTGAAGCACTCAGAGGAGCTTTGAAGTCATCAAGTCAGGTGTTGGGTACCTGGGTGGCTCAGTCAGTTAAACATTTGCCTTTGGCTTAGGTCATGATCCCAGGGTCCTGGGATCGAGTCCCACACTGGGCTCCTTGCTCAGCGGGGAGTCTGCTTCTCCCTCTGCCCATCCCCTCTGCTCATGCTCTCTCTCTCTCTCTCAAAATAAATAAATAAAAATCTTAAAAATAAATAAAAATAAAGTCAGGTGTTTTTATTCTAAATACAGTTCTGATCAGAATCAGACGTTTAGACCTATAAATACAAATGAAAGCAATGTGCTAGTCTCAACCCACTGTATTTTTGGTAGAAAGAAACTCGAAGGGTACTTATTGAACTACCAGCAGGTCAGCATTTTATTAAGACTATCGACATGTTTAACAATGAAACACACTTTATAGCAAATAGGGAATAAGGCAGCTTCTACATGAATCTCTGAAAGGCGATTCAGGAACACAAACTCAGGCAATTACCATCTGAATCTAGCACAGAAAAAGATAACATACTCATATAGTTTATAAATAATTGTCAGTCTGGCCCAACCAACAATCTTTGGTAATAATGTCTCTTGACAAATTTGGACAGGAATTCCCTTTTGATCCAGACAGCATTCTAGCCCCATTTTAAAAGCAGACATCAGAGGCTACCTGTGATAGTAAGGAGAGAGGAGACTACAAATGGAGTCTGAAAACTCACAATTCAAGTTCATTCTGAGTGAGTTCCTTGATTCTGTTCATGCAATGATCAATGGCATTAATGAGTAAAGGGATCCAACTATCTTCTGGCTGTGGGGTCACATGACTTGCTCTGCAAATGGAATGGGGAAAAAGAGAAGTTAAATTTATACTGTCAAGGGAAAATCTACTCTCAACAGGGAGCACAGAGGAAACTAGTAAGACAAGGCAGATTTCTTTGTAGAAACTTAGCTGCTCCACAATTGAAGTAGAAAGAAAACACCACACCCACCTTCTTCCACTTCTTGAAATGGGGCTTTGGGAATTGAGAATGATTGGATGGGTTTATTCTCAAAAAAGCTATTTGATGAGAAGTCCTCATACTCACTTAGTAATTTCAAGTGCCTTCTTTAAGACAGATACAAGTTTCGCAGACTAGAAAAGAAACAAAGAAGTTACTGACCCTGAGCCCCACATAAAAAGGGAAGGAGAGCTAAGATATATTAAAAGACTCAAGTAATAAACTATTAAAAAAAAAAAAAACCTTGAAGGAAACTGCAAAAACAAAAGTTCTGATTAGATTAGGGTGGTAGGATTATAGGATTCTTCTCTATTTACAAAATCCTATTAATATTGTTGCTATAACATTCCTATAAGTTTTTAAAAATTTTTTAATACTTTTAAATTTAAAAAACTAGAAGTTAGACTATAACCTGAATTTACCCCAACTGCGGATAGCTCCAAATATAAACAGAAACAGCTAGTGTTCCTTAAAAAAAAAAAACAAAAAAAACTATGTACAGAATTTTAAGCACACCAATAACAAGATAACATGAGGACATACGTATGCCAACAATATATGGTACACATTTTAAAATTTTTATTTGGGGTAAATAACAAGGCATATTGCTAAAGATGTTTATTTCTTAGGAAGCCAATTTTTAAAACGTGAACGTGGAAAGAAAAAGTTAACACCCAAAAGGATCCTATTCTACTCTAAGGTGTTCACATACTATGAAGAAACATTTGATGAATTTAATTTCCACCACCCAATTTATCAAATATTTCTAGGATTGATAATTCTGAATGTAAGATATAAGCCATTTGGCAGTTTTACCTCTCTTTCCAATAACTGTAGAGATAATCTGAATCTCTAAAAAGAAGACAAGAGAATTCTCTCTAGCACAGTACCCAGGACTTGAAAAAATACAATAAAACCAGATTTTTATAAAGAGCCTGACCCTGTGTAGTTAAATCACCCAATGTGTTTATATTAGAACGGAGTATGTTTCTGGACATGTATTTTTGCCTACACCAGAATTCAGAAACTTAATGACTTAATAGGATCCTAAAGTATTGTGGTAATTCAGACTTTCTTTTCAAAGTCGCATTTTCTAAGGTCTTTGCGTTCTTCTAAGTGATTACCCAAGTGGTTACGGAAGAAAGTACTACCAGAACTCAGGGCTTCAGTAAATATTTATCGAGCAGAAATACATGTAAGAATTGTGACATTATTGTTGTACTTGCATCCAAGTATAACAAATAAATATATTCCCTATAGCTTAAAGGAAATACTAGTGGTTAGTGAAATCCTACCAGTTAGGTCAGTAGGTATTCCCTCAAAGCTGGTACTTACATTGATTCGCACAGTCAAGTGGCACATAGGTGGATATATGCTCAGAGCCAAATCATCCACACTAAGGGCAAAAAGCAAAAATAACCATTAATAAAAAAGGAACAAAGCTCAACTGGGTGGTTTCCAGTACACAGTTAAGGATGTGACTAGTGAGAACCTAACTGTCCCATAAATGCCTCTCAATTCCTTAAATTGGGTAACCAGAATCAATTCAACTGATACTTACTAAACACATACATACCCCATTTCACTAGGAAGCTGGGGGGGAGAAACTCCCTTGGCCCATACGATAGGACATGATTCAGTTAAAAATGGGAGGATCTGGGGGCGCCTGGGTGGCTCAGTGGATTAGGAGTCTGACTCTTGGTTTTGGCTCAGGTCACGATTTCTGAGTCCAAGTCTGGAGATTGAGCCCCACCGCCCTGGGCTCCGTGCTCAGTGGGGAGTCTGCTTCCCTTCTCCTTCTCTCTCTGCCCCACCCCCCCGCTCCCCTGCTCACTGCTCTAAAATATTTTTTAAAAATGGGAGGATCCAGGGGCGCCTGGGTGGCTCAGTTGTTGAGCGTCTGCCTTCGGCTCAGGTCATGATCCCAGGGTCCTGGGATGGAGCCCCGCGTCAGGCTCCCTGCTCAGCGGAGAGCCTGCTTCTCCCGCTGCCTGCCACTCTGCCTATCTGTGCTCTGTCAAATAAATAAATAAAAATCTTAAAAAAAAAAAATGGGAGGCTCTGAAACCATTAATTTAACAACTGATGCAAGTGGAGTTCATCCATGGAATGCCACTCAAGTGGGCACTATTTTAACCAAATGATGAAATTTAGTACCACCAATAATGGGACAAACTAACATTACATGCCTCCCCCATATGATGCAATGAGAAGCACAAAACACTCAAATATGTGATATCCTTGCCAAAAAAATATTTAACTTGAATATAATCTATAATCATGAAAAAGACAATCACATGAATTCAGACTTTTTGGATATTCTGCAAGACAACTGACCTAGATTCTTTAAAAAGTCAATGTCAAAAAATACTAAAAAGGACAGGGACTATTAGAGTTGCAAGAGACTACAACCAAACCAGACTGCAAAGATGACAACCAAAAATGTGACACTGTGACAGAACCCTGGATTTAAAAAAAAAAAAGCTATACATTTTAGAGACCAATGGGGAAATCTGAATATTAATTATTATTCTATTCAATGTTAAATTTCTTGGATGTAATAATAAGAATGTCTGTTCTTAGGAGATAAGTGAAGTATTTAGGGGTGAAATGTCATTGATGTCTGCAACTTACTCTCAAATGGTTCAGGAGAAAAATGGCACATCTATCCATAGAGAAATAAACCAATATTGAAAACAATGTGTGAACAACAGGTGAATCTAGATGAAAGATATATGGGTGTTTACTAGAATACTTTTTCAACTTTCCTATAGGTTGAATATTTTCAAAATAAAAAACTGGGGGAAAAGCCTGGGGTGACAGCACAAGCTGAGATCATACGCCGCTGCTCACGTTTCAAGCGGGGATGCTGCTTACCTAGGGCTAATCTCATCAGAAATATCCACAATGTCGTCCAGCTGGGCCACCTGATCTTTCTTCCCATTCTCTGCCACTGAGATCCGGATTTTCTTCAGGCAGGCTTTGGACGCTCTCACGAGTGCAAGGCATGGGATTATGAGCTCTTGATCTTCCTCTGACCAATATAAGTCCCGATTGTTTGGACACCCCAACCCATCATCCTCTTCATTACCATGGTTGTCAGAGTTGTCCTCAGTGTCATTTAAGAGGCCACAGTATGGGTCACATTCTTCTACGGCCTAAGACATGCCAAAAAAAAAAAAAAAAAAAAGAGACTGTTATACTTTCAGCATCATGTCTGAGTTATCCCAAAACATCAGCCAGGTATTTCACCAATGGCCACAGACTTGAATCACTTCATAAACCCCGTTCTCACTCTCCTAGCTCGGCAATGGACAGAGGGGAATGGCACTAAAGCACACACTGGCATAGGGTAGGAGATGGGAGTCGAAATCCAGGGGTGAGGATGGGACTTAATTGAGTCAATGCTTAGGCCATCTCCTTTCTTTTTTTTTTTGAAGGTTTTATTTATTTGACAGAGAGAGACACAGCGAGAGAGGGAACACAAGCAGGGGGAGGGGGAGTGGGAGAGGGAGAAGCAGGCTTTCCGAGGAGCAGGGAGCCCGATGCGGGGCTCGATCCCAGGACCCTGGGATCACGACCTGAGCAGAAGGCAGAGGCTTAACGACTGAGTCACCCAGGCGCCCCAGGCCGTCTCCTTTCTTTATATTCTCATCTACCCTCACCTGCTCCATTTCCTCATGTGCATCCTTCACAAAATCCACACTCTTCGTCAGCATTGAAAGAGCCGCAGCTTTGTTATCTATGAGGGAAAATCAGAAAGCACCAGAATAAAAGAAGAAACCTACAATTCTGTCAAGTCTGCAAATGACAACCAATTGTGTTCCCATTTGAGGAGAGTGCCCAGGATAGTCAACAAGAGCAGGGCTTTAATGTAAAATTTTTCTAATACCCATCCTCTAGGTACCCAGATAGGAGTTAAAAAGCTTTTCATCATTCACCACAAAAAGAAATAAAACATCCACACGAGGGGCGCCTGGGTGGTTCAGTCGGTTAAGCATCTCCCTTGGGCTCAGGTCATGATCCCAGGGTCCTAGGATCGAGCCCCATGTTGAGCACCCTGCCCAGCTGGAAGTCTGTTCCTCTCTCTCCCTTTGCCACCCCACCACATGCTCTCCCTCTCTTACTCTCTCAAATAAATAAAATCTTAAAAAAAAAAAATGGTCAGACGATATTTCTCATCAACGTCCTCTTGGACGAACACTGCTTTTGACCTAGCTGGCACCACCTCAGAAGTGCTTCAGTGTGTCCTGGGCAGGACCAGGAGAACAAACCACATTTGTTCAACAAGACAGGGCCCCAGAAAGAGGGCTAAAAAAAGTATGAGAACTAAGAACACTGAGAAAAAATATTAATACTTCTCTTTTGATGTTGGTGATAAACTGTATGTGTTCTACTAAACTATAAGTTAAAATACATCCATGCTACAAAACTAGAAACTAGATAGGAGAGAACTGTCTGCTTTGGCCAGCAGAGTCAGTGGCCTGTTTCCCACTCTCACCCACCTCTTGGTATCCGAGGCACCTGCTGGCATGCAGTCCAGACACTGTTATAGGAAATAAGGTCACTGTTCTCTGGGCTGGAGAAAGGAATCAAGAAGGGTATATCAATAACCAAGGTTCCTCTCTCCTAAAAAGCTCATTCCTGCTAGTCATCATTCTCAGCTGTTAGTAACTTTGCTGTGAAAATGAGTTCTTTTTTTTTCCCTCCCTGAAGCAAGAAACCCCATTAACTGATAACCCCAACTGCGGCATTACTACCTGTGAGCTGGAGTAATGAAAAGCACATCCACAAGTTGAGCCATTCCATCTACGATGTCCAGAGTAGCGTTCCGTACCAGCTTTCTCAGGGTGATTCCTGAAGAAACCCAAAGACTAAGTAGCCTGGTCTTCTTTCCAGAAGTCACCATCTGCTTTCTTGAGCATTTAAACCCTTCAGAACTTGAGGTAATGCACACCCACATGCTTTAATTGCAGTGCCAACACAAAACTCAGGTCTTATGTATTTCCCCACATCATTTTCTTGCTCCTCCCATCATTCCTGAGTGCTGTTCTCCAAGAGAGATCTGGAACAAAATCCTTCCAGGACAGCATGTATCCATTAATTAAGGTCAATGGTCCCTTGACAACGGTGGATCAAACACCTGAAGTTTAAACCATCGGTGACTAACCCTGAAGATCCATGAGACAAGTATTCATTTATAATTTTGGCACAATTATAATCAAAGCATTAATCTACGGGCAGAGCTGGAGCTCACTTAACCGTAAGGGAGTTCAGAAACAGGGTGTGATGTAATATGGGTGGAGGAGACTGGGGAAGCCCCTATAGATCCAGCATCTGTAGTGGTTAGAATGGGTTAGAGAGGGAGGAACCAGTGAGAATTAAAAGCCTTAGAGTCAGGCAAAGCAGGGAAGATGGTAACACAGCATCTGTACCTTAGCATAAAGGCTTATTTATGAATGTTATAAAATTATCCGTGAGAGGGTTTTATGAGAGAAAGTTACACTACATGCTCAAATTGAGGACAAGGGGAAAAGTCTCAAGAGATAAGCTGTTAAATTAGCAAAGATCTACCCTATAAACCAAACATTTCTGTGTACACAGTGGCTTACCCTGATCCTTGGGAAGTGAATAGTATACTGCAATGATTGCCGTGATGGCAGCACGCACTTGTTCACAGAACCTCTGGGTTTCCTATGAGGTGATGGATCAATTTCAGAATGAAAAAAAAATGGATTAGATTCATCAGCCCATCTACTGTAAAAGAGAGCAGATGTCTGTACAGCATGATCTACAAACATTTTCCGTGGTCCCATTATGACTTAGGCCTTGTGCTGTTCTTGCCACATAGCACAGAGGAGTTAGCTGGACACCAGAGAATGAGGGGACAACTCAATAAAACAAGGAACAGCAGGAAAAACTTATTCCTAATACTCTACATCCTGGGATACTCAGGATCTGCTGTGAGGTATTCATCATATCTTAGACCAGGAGCTGGCAACTATGGCCCACTGCCAGTTTTTATAAATAAAGTGTTACTGGCACACAGCCACGCTCTTGTTTACTTATTACCTCCAGCTGTGTTCACACTACAGGGACGAAGTTAACTAGTTCACCTGCAAAGCCTAAAATATTTACTATTTGACTTTTTAGAGAAAAGTTTGCCAACCCTTAGACCATTAGCCAGGTGTCTGATCTCTCTAACAGAATCACAATATATCTAAAGGTAATTAGCATAGACTCTACATTGCTCAATGTTGACTATTTTCCTTCTAAGCAGTCACTGACTTTCTCCTATCTTCCTTGTCCTCACTTTTCTGCTAAATTCTAAGCCAGTGCTACATAAAATGTGGTCCACAGATTGGTGCCAGTCTCTGAACAGTTACCAGTCTGGGATGGTGGATAAGCACAGTGACTGAGAGTAAGTGTTTAAAACTTTTTACGGCAATGTGACATTGCTTCAACATCCAAACACATAAAAAAAAAAATTTAAAAAGGCCATTCTTCAGTAAACTAACTAAAAAAGCAATCGTCATTCAAATACATATAATTCAAATAAAACTAAAACTTTTCACCTATGAATGAAACCACTGTCCTGAGCATGTACAGAAAAATAATTCTATGTTACCTCCTCATGGTATCCTACTAGCTTTGAATTCTAGCAACAAGTCCTGAGTATATTTGAAAGAAAGGAGGCAACAGATAAGAAAAATAAGGTAATGTTACGCCCTTTAAAATAAATATTGACTTTCTTGCACAAAGCTTTTAAAATGCTCTCAATTCATTTCTTATTTTCTCATCATAGATCTCTGGGGTCAACAGGGGGAGAGTTTATCATTATAGGTGCAGCAAAAAAAATGTTTTTTTCATTTCAAAGCATCTGGATAGATAGACTGAAAAAGAGAATGAAACTATTGATTATGAAAACCAAATAAGGCAATGAATATGTCATTTTAAAATAACCTTACTTCTGAATTAAGTATACCTAGTTCTAGAAAAACAGCATAAAGCATACCTGGTCATAGCCAACATGTTTACTTTCATCAGTTTTACAGTAACAGGTTATTTAAAAATGCATAAATTTGGGGTGCCTGGGTGGCTCAGTCGGTTAAGCGTCTGTCTTTGGCTTGGGTCATAATCTCAGGGTCCTGAGATTGAGCCCAGAGTTGGGCTCCCTGCTCAGCGGGGAGTTTGCTTCTCCCTTTGCCCCTCCTCATCACTTGTGTTCTCTAATAAATAAATAAAATCTTTTTTAAAATAAAAATAAAAATGCAGGGGCGCCTGGGTAGCTCAGTCGGTTAAACATCTGCCTTCAGCTCAGGTCCTGATCCCAGTGTTCTGGGATCAAGCCCGCATCGGACTCCTTGCTCAGCGGGAGCCTGCTTCTCCCTCTACCTGCCACTCCCCCTGCTTGTGCTTGCACTCTCTCTCTCAAATAATAAAATCTTTTAAAAAAATAAAAATAAAAATGCATAAATTCCTGTTCCAGCAATTCCACTTCCGGGAATTTTTTTTTTTTTTTTTTACTGATATACATACAAAGATTGTCCTGGGCAATTTACCACAGCACTGTTTATAACAGTTACAAGTTGGAAAGAGCTTAAATGTCCACATGAAGTATTGGTTAAATAAATTATGGTTATATCCACTCTATTGAATACCATGGAGCATTACAAAGAACTGAGCAACTTTATATGTGCTAAGAATCAATGTGCAATTCATGTTGTTAATTTTTAAAGGAAGGTCCAGAAAAGTGTTTATGGTATCCTATCATTTGTGTAAAAAAGCAGGCATATACACATAAATGTGTATATGCATCGAATATATATGGAATAACACAAAAGTAACTGGGGAGGGTAAATACAAACGTTTTAGCACATTTAACTTTGACATCTTCTGAATTTTATACTGTATACGTATGTTACTGATTAAATATAAAGTAATTCGATACAAAAGGGTATTATGTAGTATAACAGAAAAGGTGTAGTTTAGACATCATAGACCCTAATTTCAATCCCAGCTCCACTGCTTATTTACCTTAACCTGAGCCTCTAAGCCCGCTTACTCCTCTGTCAGATGGGAATCACGTGCGAAAACACCCAGCAAATAGCGAGAAAAATATATATCAGAAAGCAAATAACCAGGATGAACTGCAGATTGAACGGATACCTATTTAGAAGACCTGCCTACGTCGTGCCGGGTACTGCACTTGGCAATTTGGCCTTCACCGCAATCCTGTGAGAACGGCAATCCTATTTGCCAGGTGTGGAAAATAAATGCCGTGGCTTGAGTGTAAAAGGTGGAAAGAAAGTGACTGGATTCCTAATGAACGAGGCAGCACAAGGATTCCAGGAAAGTAAAGCCCACCTGCGGAGAAGGCAGTGGAACTCGAGAGAAGACTTCAGTCAGAGTCGTGGCTTCCCTTGACACGTTCACAGCTGCCGCGTCTGAGGGAGGAGCCAATACGTTAGTGCCAAAAGGATGAGCCTGCAGCTGCTGCATGGGCTTTGAAGATGCCAGCCTTACCGGCTGAGACGTCTCAAAAACACCTCCCTAAATCAATGTGTCATATCCCAAACTCCGAAGCACAAAGGATGGGTAAGGTGAAGTATCCCCACTGAGAGGATGCGGCGGGGGTAAAAGTGGGAGGTAAAGGGGTGGGTACACTGGAAGGATGAGAAATGCTAAGTCCCCAACAGGAGAGGCACTCACTGAGTCTCCTCCAAAACGTCTCAGGATTAAACTCCTTTGTGGTCTCTCGGGCTTCTCCGACTAGTGGGTTTAGCATGTCGGTCGGGCGGTGGCAAAAGAAGAGCACAGGTAAGCGGGGCCAGACCCAGCTCCAGCCCCCACCTCCTCCGCCCGTGCCCCCGCCCCCGCCGGCGCCACAGCCGGCCTCTTCCCGAACCAAGCCCGCCCCTGCCGTCGCCCGTCTCAACTGCGTTAGCTCACCCCGCACTCCAGGCAGGAGTAACCGCAGCTCCACTGCCAACTGGTGGATCTGTTCCAAAGGCGGAGCTAGGGTGGGGACTGCGGCTGTAGATGCAGCCGCGCTCGCCATCTCAGTAGATCACCTGGAACCTCCAGACAAAAGCGGCCACGGAAGCTGCCAGGGCCGCCCTGCCGTAGGCGCTCAACTTCCGGGAGTCACAAACCCGGGTTCGTTTCCGGCAACAACCCGCCCGGCCCCGCCCCAGAGCCCCCGCCACACCCCTTCCGATCTACAGAGGCCGAGCCATGCCTTTCTTCCGCTCCGGCTGTCCGGCCTCGTCCCCTCCCTCCCCCACGCAGAGGTCCGGCCACGCCTCCTCCCGCTCCCAGAGCCCTGGTCACAAACGCAACGCCCAGTCGGGAGTTCTTAATCATCACTCTTTTATTTGATTAGCTGAAAGCACCCCCACCTAAAGAAGCCGAGAGCCCATAACCCCGAGGGAAAAGAAGACTTGGAGCTGATATCTCAAGGGTAGTCAGGGGAGGCCCCAAGTTCGTACCGCTTCCCTGCCCGTAAAGTGGCACTCTTGCCGGCTACTGAGTTCCACATACTGTGCTAGGTACTTTACACGAGGTAACCATAAAAAATACACTGGGCTTCTGATACTCCCATACACACACCCACACCCTGCCCTGTGGATCTCCTGATTAGAACTTTCTCTTCACGAAGGGAAATCAATCCCCTGCCTTCTTGGAGAAGGAAGGAATCATGGCATTATTGAGAGATTTTTCTGCAGTCCATTCTGCAGGAATCAGTAGTGGGTAATCCCCCCAACTCCCAGGAGTCCAGAGTGCAGCAGCTCCCTGAAACTTGCCCATCAGCACTGGCCTTCTACCTGCTGCTGGGGCAGAGGCCTGGGCTCCAGGGGCAGATGGTGAGGCAAGGCCTTCAGGAGCTCGAGTGGCTTTTTAACTGTGCTATGAAGGTTCCAAGCTCGGTAGAGTTCAGAGTCCACACACAACGAATGATAACAGGTGTCAACAGTGTCAACCAGGTCCGCAAAGGGGAGAAGAGAAAAGCTAGAGTGCCATATGTCATATGAAGAAAGTAACAGGAATAAATCTGCCAGATGTACAGCAGTAACATAAGTAGGTGAACAGGTATAATTTTCAGGTATTTTCCTTGATGGAGATGAGACCGGAAGTTGTGACCACAGCACCGCTGCAGCAAGCTCCAACACAGGTAGGCCATCAAGGGTATGTTAAAAAATGCCAGCTGGGAAGAGAAGCAGAACAGAACCATTAGCTTGTTAGCAAGACCTTAGAGGGTCGGGTCTCATGAACGCATTATTGGTGGCTCCTAAGAACATGTTGCTCTCTCTCGGGGGTTAACTCTGATTCTTTATGCTTCAATCACACTTGCTTATAACACTCAAAATAAGTGACTTATAGTTGTGTATTTACCTGTATCCTTTTGTTCATCTTAAAAGTAGGTATCATTTATGTTGAAGCCCTCAGTAATGTTTAAGGTGGAAATGAATACATACCCACTTCTTTTTGGCACAGTGAGGGGGGACTTAAGTATCAATATTTTTTTCTTATCTCTGTATTTTCTATTAATTTTTTTTATTTTAAGTAAACTCTACACCACACATGGGCTCGAACTCAGAACCCCAAGATCAAGAGTCACATGCTCCACCAACTAAGTGAGCCAGGCACCCCCCTTATCTCTGTATTTTTAATTAAAGTAGCATCATGAGTACCGGAATACAAATCAGAAGATTTAAGTTATAGGGACGCCTGGGTGGCTCAGTGGGTTAAGCGGCTGCCTTCGGCTCAGGTCATGATCCCAGGGTCCTTGGATTAGTCCCACCTGGGGCTCCTTGCTCAGCAGGGAGCCTGCTTCTCTCTCTCCCTCTGCTGCAGTTCTCCTTGCTTGTTCTCTCACCCTCTCTCTCTCTCTCTCTGACACATAAAATCTTTTAAAAAATTTTTATTTATTTATTTGACAGAGAGAGACAGTGAGAGGGAGAACACAAGCAGGGGCAGTGGGAGAGGGAGAAGCAGGCTTCCCGCTGAGCAGGGAGCCTGATGCAAGGCTTGATCCCAGGACCCTGGGACCATGACCTGAGCCGAAGACAGACACTTAATGACTGAGCCACCCAGGCACCGCCATAAATAAAATCTTTTTTAAAAAATTTTTAAAAAAGATTTAAGTTATAATCTAAGTTTAGCTGCTGTATGATTCATTAATTCATTCACCAAATAATTACTGTGTGCCCATTACATGGCAGGCACTGTGCTAGGCTCTAAGCTAAGGACACAGTGGCAAACAACTCAAAGAGGATGCATCATAGAGCTTACATTTTAACAGAGAGAAGAGAGACCAAAAAAAGAAACACAAAAGATCACTATAGATTGTGATAAATTCAATGAAGGAAATAACTGGGTCACAAGGGGGTAACTGAGAGATGGGTTCTCTGAGGCCTGAAGAACAGGAATGACTCAGTGGAAGGAAGTACATTCCAGGCAGAAGAAACAAATAAAAACCCCCGTGGTTCCCAGGAGAGGCCTTGGCCCATTTAAGACCAATAAGCCTGGAACACGATGAGCCAGGTGGAAACTGAGGCAGTCAATGAAGGAGATAACTGGGTCACATGAGAGTAAGTGACAGATGGGTTCTGAGGCGTGAAGAACAGGAATGACTCAGTGGAAGAAGTACATTCCAAGGAGAGGAAACAAGTAAAAATCCCTGAGGTAGGAGAGGCCTTGGCCTATTTAAGGCCCATTAGCCTAGAACATGATGAGCCAGGTGGAAACTGAGGCAATCAGAAGGACCCAGATCATGTCACTGCTCTGCTTAAAAGGTTTTAAGCTGAGGAATGAGCTGATTAAGCTTTTAAAAGGACAACAGTGGATGCTCTATGGTAAACTGAGAGTAGGGAGAAGAGTAGCAGTGGGAAGACCAATCTGGGGTTCCTGCAGTAGCCCAGGCAAGAAATAATTATGAGTTAGACTATGTGGTGATAACAGAGATGAAGAGAAGTGGCGGATTCAAGATATGCATTGGAGGGAGATCAAACAAGGTATGACTTGCTAATGAATTAGATACAGGGTATTAAAGGGAAAGGGAAAAATTAAAGATACATCCTAGAAAAACTTCCTGAAATTGGAAAGAACTGGGGGAGGAACAGGTTTGAGGTAGAAACTAAGGTCCTATTAGACACATAATATTGAGATGCCTGTTAGATATCTAAGGGAAGATAAGAAATGGCAGATGGGTATATAGGCACCTGAAGTGCAAAGAAGTCGAGGGCAGAGATTAACACATTTGGGAGCCATGGGCCTATATGATACATAAAATCCACTAGTGGTATATTACTTATTAAAATATGAATATAATCCCCACCTTTTAGTAAGGCTCAGGTTTTATTTGGTATCACAGTGCTCCTGAGAGACAGCCTCCATCTGCATAATGGAAAACTGAACCAGACTCAGGACCTACTCACATATAAAATACTGCTATACAGAGAATGTTCTGTCTGTTTACTAGGCAGAAGTCTTCCCTGTTTTGCTGATCACCTTTTACTGCCCTGTTATGAGGCTGTGAACTCATTCTGAACAACATTTTTGGATCTCTTCCCAAACATGAGATCATCACCTGAGATTTTAGTACCTTAGCCCCATTAGGTGAATAAAATACATAAATAGGTAAATACTTTTCAAACCTATATACAGAGATTTTCTATTAGTTTTTTGTGTGTTTCTTTTTTCTTTTATAAGATTTTATTTATTTGAAAGAGAGGGAGAGAGAGCACGAGCAGGGGCAGATGGAGAGGGAAAAGCAAACTCCCCAATGAGCAGGGACCCTGATGTGGGGCCGGATCCCAGGACCCTGAGATCATGACCTGAGCTGAAGGCAGACGCTTAACTGACTGAGCCACCCAGGTGCCCCTGTGTGTTTCTTTTAAAGGAATCTTAATCCACATGTAAACCTAATCTATCAGTGTTTTCAAACAAGCCGCAGCTAAGATATCACTGAAAGGCCCAGGTCTGGGGCTTGCCCAGTGCAGCTTCCACTGGACAACTGACCCATTTTTCTTGTGAGTCTATTTTTCCTTTCCTCCCTCCAAAACATTTGCCTTCTTCATTATCATAATCAATTTTGGTTTACTTATTTATTCTACTATAAGTCCCTTATTTCATTTTTTATCGATGGAAAAGCACAGTAAAACAAACTACAAAAACAAAAATCTCTTTTACTTTTTATAAACCCTTCCTGCCAAAATGTATTTTAGATGTTTACAAGAGAGTAGTGGAAGAAAGAGCTTAGGAAGCACTTGAAAAACAAACAAAACACCAAATATTCAAGATTGCCCTGACAGTAAATTAGGAAATATGATCTGTGGTGTTTAGTTGGAGGCTCTGGATTTAATTCATAACTGTTATGCAGTAGTCCAAAAGGCCAAGGCATTCTTACATTCCATTTCTGACTTCTTACCTGCAGAATTCCAACTACAAATGTTAGGCTGCCTTGTAGGAAATGTCCATCAACAAACATCCCAAAGGAAAAGCAGCAACCCAGTTTGCCTTTAGTGATCTCACCAACAAACCATGGTCCTGAAAGAGGCAATGGGCACAGAAGATTAAATGACTATGATTCTGATTATATACATCACAAGGTGCATTTATAGGAATAAAAAAGTATGAGAGTAGTTGCTAATAAGCATTTTATTGGCATAATTTTTCTTCTTTATTAATCTCTATGTTGCACCATACATCCTAACTAACCAACCATTTGCTCCTTTGCTCTCCACTTTTGTCTGATTATAAAATCATCTGAGTACATGCTATACCTGAACAGATTCAAGAAACAGGTCAGAGTATGTTCAGAAACTTTAGAAGATTCTGTTGCAATAATAATCCCAATATAATGCATTAACATTTCCTTTAAAAAGCAAAGAGGTATTCTATGGAAGTTAATTTTCCAGATAACTGATATTTACTCCTTTAAGCAAGAAAACTTTCATCTTTCTAAAATGCACTTCTCTTTCTTATTAATGAATGTATTCTGACCTTTCCTTGCTGACCCAAGTCATTACTTTTTACATCAACTATACACTCGAGGTTAACATGTACAAAATTTAACTTCTTTAATTTTTCATTTAGAATGCCAGAATGACTTTTCTCTCCTCCCTATTATTTACTGCCCTTCCTAATGT